ATAGATAGATAGATAGATAGATAGATAGATAGATAGATAGATAGATAGATAGATAGATAGATAGATAGAATAATTATGAAAGGGAACAGGAAGATGGTATCTTGAAATGTGATCATTGGAGCTGATATAGATATATAGATACACACTTCTCAAGTACTGAAGCCCTACTTTGGTCATAAGCACCTGGGAAATAATCATTTATTTATTAAATACTTTTCCCCCTAGGCTCATTACAATGTCACATTGACTAACTTAGTAAATCCAGATGAGTTACTGCAGGAAATAATTGCTGTCCTTCCAAAAAAACAAGTTGAATATGTGCAGAAAGGGTAAGTAGGATAAACTTTCTTGAGTTCTGCCCCTGATTGTGATAGCTTGTCCAAGATCTGGGTAAAGAATTGCTTTATGCCAAACTCTTGCTTAATGTCATATTCTTCAGAAAAATATTGCCTGAGATATCAACATTCTAGATCTAAAGCTGCTCATTTTGTCCTGTGTGGCAAATAGAAAGAATCTGTTATGGCTTTCTTATGTCTTAGTGATGTTTACTGGTTTTTCCAGAAAGTTGAATCGTTAAATCTTCCTGAAGATACAAACCCATGTTTTTTGGTAAAAGATTTGCTTATCAGTAGTGCTTGAAGCTGTTAACTTTCTGCATTGCCCCAATCCCCTGATTAAAAATTGGCAGTGATTCATGAACTTCTCTCAGCTCCATTCTAAATTGAGTTTATCTAATACGACTTTCAATATAAAATACTTAATAAGCCTTTTTCACATAGGGTCCAAAGGCATTTAATGACCATAGCTAGTCATTTATTAGAAGGCAGATTCTTTCAATGATTTAGTGGCAATGCTTTTAACATGCTTGCATTTTAAGTGATCTTAACTATACAGTATTTTATATTATTTAGGATTTTTTTTCTAGCTAGCTATCTTAAGCAAATTAGAAATGGAAAGAGAGGCTTTGTTTAACTATTTACTTCAATTGGTAAGGTACCAAAACCAACTTGGACTTCAAACTTAGGATGTGTTCCCTTATCCCAATCACTTGAATACTGCTATGCTCTTCCTTCTGATAGATCAACTAAATACATAAATTTGTTTGTGTGCTTTTTGAGCATGCCATTTCTCTATCTCTGATTGTCACATCTATTTGAATCAAGACTGGCTAGTTCTTTTTCCTAACACAGAAGGATAATTTTTGCATGTTTAAAGACACAATTACTCTGTGAAGGCATACTGAATACACTATTGCATCATATTGTGTGTTACATCTCCCTTTCTAAGTGGATTGCTTGGCCTGCAATCCATTTATAACACAGTCCTATTCATAAGACATATAATTCAGAAATACATTTTATTAATTTTGGTGGACTTTACTCCAAAATTGGCACCTTTAGAGTCTCATCCATCTTCATGCATTTATTAGGAAAGGAGATGAAATTAACACATCAGAAAAGGTGCATTCAACTTACTTATGAAAGAGGGACACAAATGGGACATTGAATAAACCTCATCTTGAAGAGTATGAGTCAAGTCTACAGAAGCAGCAAGATATTAGAAGAGAGTTGATTAAAATTTGGAAGGAAGGGAAGCACAAATTTCTCATAGTCCCTGCAAATTGTAACTCACATTTCACCACTTATCTGTGTCCATTTATTCATTGTATGTAGCCAAAACTGACTTTTTCTTTACTTCACAGGCATGCAGTTTTCTTGACAACAGTAATGCAGTGGTTTGCCACTGCCTTCTCCCAGCATATCTTTTAACTTCCTAAACTAGATAGTCTCTCGCATTAAAAGCATATTAAAAATACTTTAGCCTTTTGGGGGCATGTGGAGCGGGAAGCACTGAAAATAAAGCCTATTACTTGTGCCCCATAAGGTGGCAGATTCCAGAACACTTAATTTTGCTGGTTCAATGACTATTGTATCCTTACTGTTATAATTGTAAAAAAGTTGGCTCTTACCCATTGTATTGCTCTGTTCATCTGCCTCCTGCCGATTGATAAGTGCCAGAATTTATTCCTGCTTCTCTTTGCTTTACACAGCTATAAACTGAAGTGTCAAACCCAGTCAGACTACGGCAAAGTGACAATGCAGTTTGAACTGGAGATTTGCCAGCTAAGCAAACCTGAAGTCATGGGGATTAGAAGGCAACGGTTGAAGGGTGATGCCTGGGTCTACAAAAGACTAGTGGAAGACATCCTGTCGAGCTGCAAGTTGTAGACCTCTTAGTTCATTATGGAAATACGGACCATTCTAGCTATCCTAGCCATGCTCATTTCTGTTCATTTAGGATATTTTGTTTTAAATAGAAACTCTTTTGTCAATAAATACGGCCTACTGTCAGTGTCTTCACTTTATCTTTTTCCGCATTAATGTGATTTCTGTCTCTGTGGGAATGAACATGGGATCCTAACTTAGCCAATGCAACTTCACAGCTTGTTTATTTTTGTGGCTACGGGCTGCCCTCAGCCTGGATTTCGGGGAGTGGGGTAATAATGATCTAATCCCAAATACCCTACTTCATCAGTAAATAGACATTGAAATCATTTGCAATTCAAATTAACTAGGATCTGTATTGAAACATACCCTGTGACTTCTGTTTGCTGTTTTTAAACATTCATTTAGTAATCATATAGTGTTGGGGTCGTTTATGACCGTACGACTGCTATGTCATCTAACCCAACAAAATGTGAAATGCCTGTTCTGTAATGTTCCATCAGTTTCCCTATGATTGATTGGATAAAGTCTCTCTGTTACAGCTACTTAAGAGCTTCGTTTGTTTTTTCTGATGGTACAACGCCCTTTTTTGCCGTATGATGTGGCTGCATTGTGTATTTACCTTCCCTTTCTCTTAGCTGTCCTTGGAACAACCTACCATACATACTCACGGATAAGCCCATCTACAGAGAAGCCAACCCTTGGATTTTTACAAAATACTGTGGAAAAACGTGCCACCCACGGATAAGCCAACTCTCGAAACTTTTGTATGTTTTAATTTTTACGATTGACGTATCTGCGGGTGCTGCGTTTGTCACAGTATTTTGGTGAAAAATTCAAGGGTCTGCTTACACGGGGATGGGCTTATGGGTGAGGATATACAGGTACTTTAAAAAAGTAGTATGGTACGTACTGGTGGATAAGCCCATCCGCGGATATGCCGAACCCAATTTTGGGGGTGTATTTTGGCACCTAAAATTCTCGGCTTATCCGTAAGTATATACAGTAGTTATTATGAGAGAATGAGTGTTTGACGTTTCATCTTTGCTCGGCATCTCAAGCAATCTTTAGACCAGTGTTTCTCAACCTTGGCAACTTTAAGATGGGTGGATGTCAACTCCCAGGATTCCCCAGCCA